CGCGCGCGCGCACTTTTCCTTTGCGTTCCCATAGCCACCATCCTGGACCAGAGCAGTAGCCTCTAGCTTATCTCCTTGTCTCCATTTGCTCCGGCTAGAATGCTGCTTGGTTCACAATGCAACATGGCCATTCAGAAGTTTTCAGTAGCTCCTGTAAACACTCTGAGTGTCTAGCTGAGCATTCGAGACCCTCCAGAAAGACCTGGGCTCAAATCTGGGTTCCCTATCTGGGGGCTTGTGTGACTTGTACACTTTTTTCTTTGTTTTTATTCTTTTTCTAAAGTTACCCTTTCAAGCTGTATTTTCCCTCATCTCTAAAATGGGGATAATAATATTTAACTGATGAGGGCTACGGTGAGGGTGAGCGATGACATACGTAAAGTATCCGGTCCATGCTTCTCAGATGCTGACTGACTCTTACGAAGCTTCCCCCATGTTGGTACCTAAGTCACTTGCTCTGCCCCCAACAGCAGATGTGCCTCCCTCAGTTCTGCTTTGGCCATTCACACCGACCTCCAAAGGCTGCCTGACTTGCTTGCAGCCTTCCCTCTGCCTGAGCGATTCCTCCCCCGTCCTATAAGCTCTTCCTTTATCATAAAGCTTTCGCTTATGAACCCATCTAATAATGATTTATGAATGAGTTCACCTAGTTGGCAATTCATCATACCCTGCCTTCTGATCTCTACTGCAGTCTTTTATTATTATAATTAGAGTATTACTAGTCAGCTGTATAAGATTTATGTCTCAAGCCCCTAGTTAACTTAATTCCTTGAGGGGAGTGATCATGCCTTACACACCTTTGAATCTTCCATAGCCCTTAGCACAGATCCTTGTCATGATACGTGTTTAGTAAATGCTTGTCGGTGCCCTGGATGACTGGGAACTGCAGACAGTACATCATGGGAGAAGAGAGTCCAGTGGTTAAGGTTGTGGGAGAAGGTTTAATGGATGAAAACAGATTTGAGCTGGTTTTTGTTGGGAGCATAACATTTATGTAGGTTAGTAAGAAAGGTGGCATGTGGCTACGTAGAGAGAGCTGTTAGGTGACAAGAGCCCTCACAGGTACATTTAAAACAAATGATGCAGCTACAAAAGGGATGGGGCTGAGCACTGCTGTGGTCGGTCTCTGTGCCACAGCCTCAAAGTTAAGCCCCGTGCTCAGCCACTTAGTTCCCGTTCTCCTGCCTTTCCTCTTGCCCGGCTGTGACCTATCTCCTGGGACGCTGTAACTGGGGACTGATGAGCTGTGGGGCTGCTGACAGTTCTCTGCGTTTTCCTTTGAGTGAGGATGCCTTTGTTTCTTCTTCAGTCTGGAAGGAAATTTGCCCTGTACATAACATTTTAAAATAGCAATGATCTTCTTTGGTTACTTGAAAGACATCCTTCCATAGTCTTCTGTTTTCCATTGTTTCCGTTGAATAGTCATTGTCAGGCTTCTGGGTTTTGTGGGTTTTGTTCTTCATTTTTGAAAGTAATGAGCCAGTTTTCCCCTGGCTGTTTTTAAGGTTTTTCTCTGCGTTTTTGGTTTTCATCAAGTGTACTGCAGTATGCCTGGGAGTAGGTTTATTTGTAGTTTTATTTATATTAAGTCTGTGGTAGGATGATAATTGATACTGTCTCTTCAAATTGCTTCCGCCTCATTCTTTCTCTTGTCTTTGTGGAACTTCCAATTACTCATATTTAAAACATTTTTTTAGGTCTAAAATACTGTCTATGGATTTTAGGTCTTTCGTTACACTCTTTTGTCTCAGCACTTCATTCTGCATATTTTCTTCTCACCTGTCTTCTGGTTCACATTTTTCCCCAGTGGTGTCTAATCTATTGATAAACCCATCCATTGAGTTCTTAATTTTCATTATTTACCCTTTAGTTCTAGAATTTCAGTTGTTTTATAGCTTCCAGTTCTCTGACAAAAATTTTCCGTCTTGTCTTTTATTTCCTTGAACATATTAGGCATAGTTATTTTAAAGACTATGTCTGAAAACATTTGCATATTCATTTGTATATCTGTGTAGTCATAATATCTGTATAAAATCTGTGTATATATCCCTATGGGTCCATATCTATTGTCCATTATTACCCTTGGTTTTCCATTTTGCTGTCTTTTATCCTCATATTCCTAGCTATATTGATTGAATGGTGGCCCTTGTAAATGAGAAACGCCAGAGAGAATATGAATCTTAGGATAATGTTATCTTTCCTCAGGATATGGTTTACATTGACTTCTGGTAGTTCCAGATCATTTTAATTTGATCAGGGATTGAGATGATTCAAAGCTGGGCTTCAGTCTTTGAAATTAGTCTATTTCCACGGAGTGTTATCCCTTACAAAGCTTGCACGTGGAGAGGACAGTTTGCAGGACTCCCTTTTCCTAGTTGGGTCCTGATCTTCAGTTCTTATCCCCCTGGTCACTGACTGTGTCAAAAGCTCTGCGCAGCTGCGATGACCTGCAGCCTCCTCCTCTGGCTGCAGCAGATGCCCTAGGCTAGGAGAAGAGCTGCCCCAAACACCAGGCTTCCCTTTATGGGATTCTTTCTTCTCCCAGATCTTGCCCTTCTAATTCTTTACTGCCTTCTTAGTTCTCTGATGTTTTTAAACATATTTTGAAAAAGCACACTTTGTCCAGATTTCTTAGTTATTCACCGTGAGAGTTGGGTCTGAATTACCTGCTGTGCCATTAGCAGAAGCACCCTGCTCTCGGCCAAAGATTTTATTATCTAAAATCCAGCAGGGACACTTAGAAGTCTCTAGAACAGAACATTAACATGACTTAAGTGGTATTTTAGAAAGATTAATATGTCAGTGGTATGCAAAACAGAGAGGAGTTGGGAAAGTCTCCGTAAGTAGAATGGTTAAACGACCATCCTCACTGGGTGCTTTCTGAAGTGAGACGAAGGCAGACATTACGGCTTAGGAGCCTGGGCACTGCCGACAGACCTGAACAAGAGTCTGGGCTCCCCTACTGACCAGCAGGTTTCGTCTGAGCAGTTCCCCAATCTATCCCCTCATTGGTAATACAGGGTCATAAAGTCCCCACCTCCTAGGCTTGTAAGAGTTAAATGGGAAACTCAGAGAAAACCCTGGCTTTAACATTGGGCACATAGTAAGTGCTCAGTAAGTGCTGGTCATTGCTATTACTTTTCCAAGATCTAAACCTCAGTTATTTAGGTAAAGATTCAGGGTCACTGTTAATGGCACTAATCGGGACCATAGTTAGCACTGTCAGCTTTGTGGGGGACATGATTCTACGTCCTCTGAGTCGCAGTGAACAGCTCCTGGGCCTTCACACAGCAGCCCTGTGCCAGGGACATTCTAAATACTCGCCATGTGCTGAGTTGATTTATAGCCTGATGCTCTGGTTTTGAAGACGATCCCAACCCCAGATCTCAAAGATGTAATGATAGCTGCTTTTCAGAAGTGCCTTTCGTCAGGCTTCAGCGTAGATGCTTCATATTTTAGGTTGATAGAACCATCAAACTTAAGCGTTTTACTTTTAAAAGCAGCACGGAGTACAAGGATAGAAGCTTACAAAAAAGACGCACCAGATTATGAGCCTTCATGTTACAAAAGGATTCCGAAAATCACGGATAACCTCCAAAACTATCTTTGTGAACCCTATCCTTTTTCTAGATGATCAGAGTGCCGACCACCAGAGAGCCCGGGGACACACGGTGGTAAACGACAAAGCCAGGACTGGAACACAAGTGTCCCAGTTTCTGGTGTATTTTGATTCTCTTGGGAAAAATAGCACCCTTTTGTTTTCTCTACCCAGTTCTACGCCTTCTGCAACTCTGTTCAAGTTTCATGTGGCCTGGGTGTTGGTGCCCATGGGAAACTTGCCTTAAAGAAGGAAGACCAGCCCATCACCTTGAATTTCACTGTTGGAAGTTAGAAAACACATCCACATGTGTGAGTTTCTGGCGCAAGGCTCAGTGTAGAATTCCACCTTCCCTTTCTTTCACAAAAGTAAGGATGCATACTCAACCTCTTGATAGTCATGAGAGATCTACGTCAAACTATAACCTTTTCCTTCTGGGTCATGTGGCAAGACCACGGGTAACTCATTACCTGTTCAGTGTGTGGGAGATGGGGCCAGGCTGTAAAATCAAGTAAGAAAGAGGAAGTGCCTTCATTAAAAAGGGTTAGCTTTCATTGTGTGTCATAGGGGATGGCCTAGCTTTTTTTTTTTAAACACCATAAGACCTGAAATCAGTGAAGTCCTTTATAATAGAGTTTTCCCTCCCCGGATCAGATTCTTGCTCTATTTGCTCTTCCTGAACTTCTGCTTATAATTAATGACAGTCCTGATGAAAGATTTAGAATTTCTACCTATGTGATTTCCATAGTATTTTGGCTACATGGGCGATAAACGTTGAGGCTTGGCTGAGCTGCATCCTTGTTAGAAAGACACCGTATGTAAATAAGGGAGGGACCCACTGGTAGATGGTGCAGCAGAATCTGACACACTGAGGCTGCCGGAGGAGCTCTGTCTGCCAGGATGACCAGACTTTGTAGCAAGTCGCAGAAGAGCCGGGGGAGTCGTAATTAAAACTGAAAGATAATCTCTAGCCTTGCTCTTCAGAGTGTGGTCCAAGGACCTTGGAGCTTATGAGAGAATCACGGGGCTCACCTAGACCTGCTGAATCAGGATGTGTGTGCACGTTGCTGAAGGTGAAGCTCAGGTCTAGATTTTGTCATCAGCCCTTATTATCTTTACTGTGAACAGCACTGATCATATCCCTCACTGGTAAACATCTCCCGTTTTCTCTTCAGTCTTGGGACAACGACCAAAACCCTAGGCGTGGTTTTCCAGGCCTGCAGGGTCAGGTCAGCGCGTCTTTGGCATCCTCCCTGCGCTGCCTGCCTTCTGTAGCTGGTCCTCCTGCCCAGGGATCTTGCTCCTCACTGCCTCAAGGCACCTTCCTTTACCTGTAGACGGGGTGGGAGCCCTGTCTTCTGACTCAGAGCATCTTCTGTTTCCTGGGGCTGCCGTAACCAAGTACCACAAACTGTGTGACAACAGAAGTGTATTCTCTCACAGTTCTGGAAGCTCGAAGTCCCAAACTGAAGCGTTTGTAGGGCTCTTCTCCCGCTCAAGCCTCGAGGGGACGATGGATCCTTGCCTCTTCCAGCTTCTGGTGGTTCCAGGCAGTCTTTGGCTTGGGGGCTGCATCACGCAGATCTCTGCCTGTCTTCACATGGCCACCTGCCCCCTGGGTCTGTGTCCTCACATCTCAGTCGCTCTGTGTGTGTCAGTGACCAAATTTCCCTCTTCTTCTAAAGACATTGGGTTCCTGAGCCTCTGATGGCAACATTTTCATCAACCAGTCGATAGATCATCTTGTTTTGTGTGTTTCTGTTTAAAGACTCCATATTTAATATGTATTGTAGATTCAGTGATGTTGAACTCACAGCCCACAACACTATAATTCATGCCCGAAGGAAGTTTCTCCAAAACAGGTATTTTCTCCATAAATCTCACTGCAGCTTTAGGTTTAGGGATGCTAGACAGTGCGTCAGACAGACCACTCTCAGGGGCCATTTTGAACAGCAAAATCACCAGCAAAAAGCAAGAAAATGCGAACGATGTTGCACTAGGTAGACTGAAAAGGACACGTATTTATAGTATGAAAGCTGAAGTAAGAAGGCAGAATGTCACCTGTCCGACCTTCGCTGAGAACGTGCATTGGATGGCAGATTTTTCACCTCTCCGTGCGTGTCTGGGAAGGGCCTGGGAACACCCCGAGAATTGCTTTGGGCGTTAGACACACATTTTAGTGAGAATGTTATTTTGCAAATATGGATTTGCATCTCCCCAGATAGGCTTTCGTTTTAAAGACAGAAGGCTTTTTGAAATATTTCAGGTGACCATTTCTCCCCCAAATGGGTTGTTTGTGAAAAAAGATACGGGAGGAGGTACATCATTATAATGACGAGTTGGAAGTGGGGCCACTCACACGTCCCCTGGCGTTTCCGCGTCGCTAAGTTCAGGCAGGGCCGCCGCGGTCGGGGTCCCCAGCTGCTCTGCTGGTCGTCCTGTCCCCTCAGAAGAGCTCTTCACTCCTGTACCGACTCCCGCTTCCGCTCCCCTCTCTACCTTCTTCGCTGCCCGGGACTTGGCTGCCCCTCTGTGTCTGGAGATCTTCTCAACAGGGAGGCTCTGACTTCGGTGGCTGGGCTGAGCCCTCGCCGTGGTCAGTCACCCAGTGGGAGATAATGTGGACGGCTTTTCCCGACGCTCCCAGAACTCTCCAGAACTTTTTGTCATTCTGCACACAGGACGCTTCGTGCGGTGTGTGAGTTGTCTTCTTCCCAGTCTCCCGCTAGGCTGGGAGTCCCCAGATGCCAAGGAATGTTGTAGCTCTTCCTGTTCCCGGAGCACCCCTCTCGATAGGTGCTCTTCAGGTGGATGAAGGAATGAGTGACGAGAGCAACCTGAGAACCACGAAGAGCAGCTGTGCTGGGGGCTCCCTGTGGCCATTCTGGGTCCTTTTGGACGGTCCCTGCGGTTCCTGTTACTCCTGAAGCCCCAGATGGGTGGACAGGCCAGCCTGCAGTGGTGACCCCATCTCGGCTGATCCTCAGAGCGGCCTGGCCCTTGTGCCGCACACCCCCGGGTGGGAGGCAGCACTTGGGCCTCGCAGGATTATGAAAAGACCCCTAAGAGGTGGGGTTCCTGGTCTTGTGATTTTGCAGTTTGGTTCGGAAGAGGGGGTGTGCACAGCTAAAAAGTTTACATTTAAGGTAAGGGTTAGATGAGATACAGACAACATGATAATAGCTGCCCTAAAGCAATGTTTGATTTTTAAAACAGCAGTACAAGATCCATGAGGATCGTGGGAGTTGAAGGAGGAAGGATTCCCTCAGCTGGAGCATCTGGAAAGGCCTTGTGGAGAAGGCGGGCG